AGTTGGCTGAAAGAAGAGTTTCAGTGGATAATTCTGAATGGTTCATTCGTTTCAATATTTGGAAAATAATCAAGCTTTTCAACAAATATTGGTGTATAGATAGAATTGAAATTGAATATTGTACCTTTTGGTGTTGGATTAAAGAGACTTGTTAATTCAATAGCATAATATAAATCCTTTTCATCCATAAATATTTTGGAGTATTGCTGTTCAATTATATTGCTTGACAGCTTTCTCTGAAGATTAATATTGGCTTCTTCAATGGTTTTGGTTATAGAGGGTGAGAAGCTTCTTGTATTTTCTTTGTTCAATTTAAAAAGTGAATATATAAAAACGATATCTCTTTGTAAAGATGAATCAGCATATTCAAGTGCCAATTCATGTTGTTTAACAGCTTCCAATACAATTTCTCTATCTTTTTTAAATGATGAATCAGCATATACAAGTGCTGATCCATTTTGTTTAACAGATTCCAATACAATTTCTCTATCTTTTTGAATAATAATCAGCATATTCAACTGCATGTCCACATTGTTTAACAGCTTCCAATACAATTTCTCTATCTTTTTTCAATGAATAAATCAGCATATTGAACTGCATGTCCACATTGTTTAACAGCTTCCAATACAATTTCTCTATCTTTTTTCAATGAAGAATCAACATATTTAAGTGCTGATCCATTATGTTTAACAAATTCCAATACAATTTCTCTATCTCTTTTAAATAATGAATCAGCATATTTAAGTGCTGATCCATTTTGTTTAACAGCTTCCAGTACAATTTCTCTATCTTTTTTCAATGATGAATCAGCATATTCGAGAGCTGATCCATTATGTTTAACAGCTTCCAATACAATTTCCCTATCTTTTTTCAATGATGAATCAACATATAAAAGTTCCCATCCATTATGTTTTACAGCTTCCAATATAAATTCTCTATCTTTTTTAAATGATTCATCTACATATTCAAGTGCATTTCCACGTTGTTTAACAGCTTCCAACACATACGTCCTATCGGCCTGTTATTTGTGATGGTCATCACACCCATTAATAAAATTGCATCACAAAACAAACCCAATCTTCAGACATTTTTTTTAAAATATTTTAAATATAATTTAATTCCTTCTCATTAATACCGATCACAATGAAATATCAGGTTAGTAGAATAATCAAACTCCCATTTGATAAAGGAGGTGTTTTACTTTTAGAATGTAAATCCATCTGAAATTCATAATTTATTGGTAAAATATGATCCATTGTAAGATTTTGTAAACAAATTTGCAAAAGTTTTATCATTTTTGCAAAGATTGGCAAAAGATTTGAGATATTAAGGAAAAGAGAAGTAGATCGTTGCAAATGGAATTATGAATTTGGGTAGAAAGAGTTGTCAATCTTTCAAATGTCTCAATTGATTTTAAAGTTTTGGAAAGATTTGACACCTTTACCATTTGAAAATATTCCAACAGGATTCTTTCCAATTAAGGCAATGTTCTAAATGTTATTTCAATATCTTCAATTTGTTTGCTAACCTTTTTATCTTTCTTGATCATAAAGCATTTCGAAATCTTCTTGGTCTTTAGTTTCTGCGTTTGTTGTTTGTGGGTTGTTGTAAAGAGTAGTAAAATAATCGGCAAGCTCTTGAGCTGAAGGTCTTTTCTTTGGATCTTCATTAACCATTTCCAATATTTTTTCCAAATTTAAAATCATCCCATTGGAGTGTTTGCATGTCAACTTGAAGATCAAATTCGTCTTTTTTACAGATTATTTCATATGAGGTCTTGTTTTTGAGATACAATAAAGTAGCCCCAAGACTGTAAATGTCAATCTTTTCATCATAGTTTTGCTTTTTACGAATTTCTGGAGCTTGAAAAGGTATG